TTCCCTATTTTATGCTCCCTTGAACAGAACGTACATAGAGGGGACTGCAGTGGTGGCCACCTTATACACACGTACAATAACAACAGTACTCGCTAGTCTAGAGAATGAAATGCAACTACTGACTAACCCAAGCACAGCCCCAAACCCCCCATCCTCTGACACTTCCAAATGAGTCAATAAAAACTGGCAGCAGCAACATGCTGCAAAGACCTTGTTCCCTTTTTATTCTACACATTCCAGCCAAATGAACCAGCAATGATTCCCCACAGCCCTGCATGCCAAGTGCCTAGGAGAACAACCCTTTACTATCTATAGCCTTTACATTTGACTCATTCTTTGTGTGCTCCATGTGTCACACACGTCCCTCTTCTTTGGCAGGGCTCAGACACTGAGCAAGCCCGGGATATTTGGACTGCAGACTCAGCTCATACTTTTAAAGCTTTTCTCTGCTGGTTTTTCACTGTTGTTTAACAGACACTGGTCTGTTTTAAGTCAATGTTGCTGTTAAGCATTAGGATACTTGTGAATGGTGCTTTACAAACCAACCAGTGATAATGCTGTTAATATACAGTATAACATGAGCCTGAATCACGGGTAACAGAAGTAAACGCTGGTGAGAGCTGCTACAATCCAGGATCTGTTTTGAGTCCTTCTGCTGTATTCCTTGTGAAAACTAACTCTGTAGGAGAGAAGAAGGAGGTGTCTTTAGAGAGAATAGGGCAGAATTAGGGTCTCTATAGTCCTGGATGATAAAGGAAAAGAGTTAAGAAGATTTTGTGTGGGAAGAGAGAATGAGCCAGTGGCCTGCCCTGACAGATGAGTGGGATGTTCTGTATCTCTGACTCTGACAATGCAGGGTGCCGTGTATCTATCCCTAGTTGGACTGTCTGTGCAACAGGCCTCCCCCATTCAGTGCTTTTGTCCTTACAGGTTTCGTAACCTAATTTTGTTTCTACATACTGATGATATCACAATTTTATGTGGATAAATGAGTTTCTAGTCCCACTAACCCATCTGAGCACTGGGAACGGCTGTGGCATGTCTGTGCATGAAGCCTTCGGACAGCAGCCATTTCCCAAACACTCCTGGCACCCTGGTCTCGCTGTTCCTGATACCTCTGTTGTTTAAACCCTGATAAGCAGTCATTAAACTGGATTGACTCCTGATTATTGTATCAATGACAGCTACCACAGCTCTTGAGCGCCAGGCAGCTCGCGTGCAGACTGTGCTAAATACACTGCCCTCCCAACCTCCCGGGGAACCAAGATGCATTGTTATGAGGAGGGTTTAATGTATGCATTAGCTAAGGTCCAGTAGCCTTATATCCCAGGAAGCCTTCCGAGCATAGTATATGCATCATGAGTGACCTCACTCCATCGTTTCAAGAAACTTCGCTGGAGGGCAATGGATTGAGCCTCCTAACTGACTGTTTTTCAGCTGCGATGTTCAATGTGATACTAAGAGCTTATCCGGACAGAGATGGTGACTGCTACCACTGCTGTGAACTACCGCAGGCCTGTGCCTGCCTCACTCCATCAGCAGTTCCAAATTGCTCCCAGGCCAAGAGCTCCAGAGACCCAAGTCCACGTGGCTGGAGTTGGGTTTGTGTATCCTGGTGAGGTTCGTGTTTTCTAATGGATCTATTTCATCTAGAGCCTGAGGCAGACACAGCTGGCAGCAGCTGAACCCAACAGAGACTACATTTGTCCTAAATCAGTTCCCCAGCATCCTGCCCTGGGGATGTGGTCTATCGGAAAGGGACAAGCTCACCAGGAGCCATCCGTACGAGGTGACCTTCCAACAAGACCTCGGTCCATGTGCCACTCATGCAATTTGCCGCGCATGCCCATGAGGAGCTGGCTCTAGCAGCCAGTGGCAAAACCCCTCCTGTTTACCAGCAGCAGCACCGGTATGTAGCTCGCCCTGGACATTCAGCTGTCAGTGAATGGGAGCATAAATACAACACTTCCTAGACAGTGCAACTGGTTACCCTCCCTTCTCAGCAGCCCCAGCCACATGCCCTGCAGTACAGCCCAGGAACACTGCAGCCTTTGTCCGGGATACCATGAGGAGCCAGTTCATTTGTGCACTGAATTTTGGCCCGGGCAGTAGATTTTAGGAATAGTGCTTCCCGGGAAAATCAGTTGCAAAATGCTGTTCTCTGAGACATTTAAAATGTTTAAGTGTCTCCCTGAGGCCTTGTGCAATGTGCTTCCTTGAGCCAGAGGCCTTGGCTACACTCGCGGATTCACAGCGCTGCCGCAGCAGCGCTGTGAAGCGCGAGTGTAGTCGCGCCGCCAGCGCTGTGAGAGCTCTCTCGCAGCGCTGCAAGTACTCCACCTCCCCGAGGGGAATAGCTTGCAGTGCTGCGAGGGAGCGTGCAGCGCTGCAGGCGCTGATTACACTGGCGCTTTACAGCGCTGCACTCGCTGCGCTCAGGGGGGGTGTTTTTTCACACCCCTGAGCGCAGCAAGTGCAGCGCTGTGAATTGCCAGTGTAGCCAAGGCCAGAGTCTTTGCAGAGATGATCAGAAATCTTGCAAAGAAAATCTCCTGAGAAATCCCACCCTCTGCGCCCCAGAACATCAGCCTACAAATGGAGTAACCTCCGGCTTTTCTAAAAAGTAAAGGATTGCGCTGCTAGCCCTTGGCAGTAAGAGTGCGCGGACCTCTCCACTGAGGCACACAAACAGCACCTGCTGCCAGTCTAGCTGGACTAGCACTAGGGTCTCTGCCCCAGCAATAGCAGGAGACCAGGGTCACTAATGATGGATGGTCCCTCCACTGAAAAGGCCTGGCTGCTGACCCCAGCGCTGACTGCATTCACTGGGTACTGGGGTCCGATGGTGGGCCAGAGTACAGGGAACATCACAATAAGGAGCAGCTCCAACTCTTGAGCTCGACGGAGTCACAGCCTAGAATGTTTCCACCAGTCACAGCGCCCCATTGCCTGAAACAACAACCTAATGGAGCAGAGGTAACCAGCTGCAGCTCGAGGAAGGTGAATTACAAACCCAGCAATCAGCAAACGCCTGTGAGCTAAACACCAGGGCAATGAGTCCGTGTTGGGTGAGGGAGGGCAGAGACTAGATCAGGTCACCAAGCCAGCACTGCGTGCCCAGTGAGAGTGGCTAGTCCCAATGTACACCATGTCCCCAGCTACCCTCTCACCCAGAGACACTGCACTGGGCCGTTCCTACCCTCCTACATATGGCCTTGGAGGTCTACAAGTCACCATGTTCTGATATGATTCAATCACCTGCCCTGCAGATTGGATGGATGAGTGGGGTGTGTGGGGAAGGTCCCACTGAATCCTTTTCACAGATAGCCTTTCACATGGTTTACAAAGCCACCACATTGCAACAAGAAGCAGATGTAGATATGGGATTTGACAACAGCACCAAGTCTCACGGAGGCATTAACCCTGATTTCCACTTAGAAATTCGATCCGGGAGTGTGAAGGGCTGGCTAGCACCCAGTAGTGCAGGGTGGCAGTGTGTGGGAGAGAGCAGATGACTGGAATGAGATGCAGTTATGATACCATTGTATCATGGGATCCTGGTGGATAGCAGCCATAGAGACAGGAAAACCTGACTGGGCAAGGAAGCCCTTGGTTCTCTGCAGCTCTCACTGGCTGTTTTTTAAACAATGAGGATCAGAGATTTTAAGTTTCTAAAATTTTAACAGCGACCATACTGGGGAGAACTAAAACTAATAAAAACTGTTAGTGCATGAGAGGTATGCACATTCCAACCCCTTTTAGGGCCAGCATTTGAACAGAGGTAAATTCAGATAGGATTCCTGGCATTCAGAACTAACATGGCTGTTACTCTTTTTCAGTATATTCAACCTACAGTTTCCTGTCAGAGCAGTGGATTCTGACTACTTCTGCACACAGTTTATACGCAATACCATCCGCACAGCGTGAGATTCCTTGTACAGCTCTGCCAAAGCCCTTCAATGCTGGCTGGTCGGAGCCCCTTCTATTTCAGTGTTAATTCCCCACACCGCACCCCAGCTCTGCCAATACACCTCAGCCGTCACCTGTTATTCTAGATCTGGGCTTACAATGCACAGGCTATCTTGTCAGATTGTCCAGCTGTGCTTCTGTTACCTGGACAAATGCCCAGGAGCAACTAAAGTGAGACACCCAAATCCACTTAATTTGTGACTCAATCAGTCCCGGGTATCCAGAGGTCAATTTCTGTTCATCTCTGCACCGTGACACTGAGATTATAAAATCCCCTTTCCCCATGCAACAAAATCTTAGCTGCAGACGGTAATGAGGAAGGGTTGAGGGATGAAACATCGCATCAACTACTGTGAAAGGGGGCGGAGTTGTGCCATTGCAAACGGCAAAGGGCCTGCCCGCTGAATGGCACCCATCAATCAGCTGACTATCAAGTGACTCCCCAAGCCAACAAGAGACATATTTACCCAGGCGGGGTTTTCAGGAAGGTGTTAGGGAGGGCACTTTGAAAAAGAAGAGTCTGAAAATACCCTTTGCTCCCTTCTATTAGACTGAGCAGCTTCTGGCTGCATGCTGTGCTCTCCATTGTGCCATGGGAAAAAGCCTCAGCTCCTCGGGGTAACTCACAAAACCGGATCTATAAACATCTTCGCCATATTGCCACATTCCCGCTTGCTCTTTATCTCCGCTCCGGGGTAGCGGGTGGGTGTGACCAACTATTGCAAAACAGCCTGATTATAATTGCGCACCACAAGGGCACGAGCTGGGAAATCGAACTGACTCTGTCACATGTCAGTGCAGACCTTGGCCCCTCAAAACTGTTCAATAAATCAACATTTCACTCAACTTAAAATGGCCCTTTGCAGCAGGTGCATAGCCTGGAGCATCTGAATTTAAACTATCCAGCCCAGGAACTGCAAACACCTGGCAAGCATTATTCAAGAGAACAACTTCCCCTCCCCAGCCCCAACCCCTTTTCTGCATCCAAAGCAGAATAAAATGAGACCAGAAGATTCATGGCATCTCTTTACCTTGGGTCCTGGCCTCGGCTGCATCCAATCCCAGTGATGGGTCACAGATCTCCTTTACAGGTGACCGGATTGGGGTTTCTGCTTCAGGGGTCTCAAAATTGCCTTCGGAATCCGAGCTGCCAAGGAGGGGAAAAGAATGAAGAATTACCACTTTCAAGGCTAGCTCCGAAATGCTTCGCATATGTTCCCTAAATATCCAACCAGACTGGATTCCAGCTCCCAGGCCGACCAGCAAATCAACCGATCTGCAGATGACATCCCGTGGCTGGAGTGATTCATTCCCAACACACCATGGTAACCAATGGAAAAGGTAGAGGAGGTGAAACCATGTTACAATCAATTCCCCTTGAAACTTCCCTTCCAGCCTCCTTGCCCCAGATGCCCATCTATCAGAGATTAGTCACATAGCACCATTACACTTTGGTACCTTGCGCACAGATTGTTTTTATGTGAAAACACACACTGGCTATCTCAGCATGGGTCAGTGACCCCTGGGACATGGCACCTCCGATTGGAGCCCCTTCCTCTAAAGCTTCAGCTGCTCTGGATGTTGGGAAGTTCAGAAAACAAGCCTTTACCTGTGTGTTTCATGTCTGCTAGCATTTGCACTGAGACCAGAGAGCACCATGTCAGAGCAGCTGCTGGGACCTGCCGGACTGCTCTGCCACAACTCCCTTCCCCTACGATTGCTGCATCTCTGTGGGACTAAAAAGGGTGCCTGAAATCCACGAAGCTGAACGTTTCCGAAAAGGAGCGCAGATCCCAGGGGGCTGGGAATTAATAACGCTAACACTACACACCGTCTAGGGAGCTGAAGGGAAGGGCAGAATTAGCAAAGGCAGATGCAAATGATGAACATTCAATACACTGAATAGCCAACAAGCTCTTAAGGGAGAAGCTGACAAGCAGGGCAGACGCAGTACATGGGACTTCACGGAGCCACAGCAGAGCATTTTGTCCCTGGAAGGATGCATCGTGCTCTGAATGCCATTACACGTGCAAGTCAGCGGGGACTGGAGATTAATGGGACTGTGACAAGTTCAAAGGCTGAGTCCTAGCAAAGCAGGGATGCTGCATACTTGCCTGAAACTCAATGATTTGGTCTCTGCCTGCGAGTCGTCCTCCTCTATCTCTCGCTCTACCCCACCATCCTCACCGTCTCCAGCACCCCCCCCTCGCACAGCAGACCACGTCCACTTGGCCCACTGGACTGGGGAGAGGATCTGCCAGGGGCTAAACGCCATGAGAGCAGTTTTCCCAGCTCCGGCTGCCAGGGGATTCTTTTCAAAATGGAGGGAAACGGTGACAAACGCCTGTAAATATTTCTAGCTGAGGCACGGATGTGGTTAAAAGTGAACCATCGGATCCCCGCTCTCGGCAGCTTCCTCTGGGGCAGGCTGCCTGCAGAGCTGCGGAGACTCTTCCAGATGCTGCAAGCTCCTGTCGCCGAAACTTAAACAGCGGCGCTGACTTTCACTTCCAAACAATGGCAACAGAAAGGAGCGATTTGTCCCAGATTTCCAAGGCGCTGCACAAACCCTTGTCAGCAGAACCTGCTCCTCCACCTCAGCCGTCTTCGCTCCATCTAAGCCCCCTGAATGCTAGAATCAGCTGGCTGCCAGATCACAGACTGTACATTCTCCAAAGAGCCTCCCCCTCGGACTGTACTACTCTCGCTGGCAGGGAGGGCGCCTGGCTCTGCGCCTCCCATCCTTGTCGCACGGGAAGCTTATTTCCCCTGCTGCTTGGAGACTGGTTGTGACCGATTTGCGGGGTGAAGCGAGCAGACTTCAGGCTTGCTAAGTTAAAAACACCAAGGGGAGAGGCGAATTCAGAGTAACTCCCCCCACCCATGCCATAGCAACAGAGCATCCGCTCTGGGAGTGAGTAATCACTGCCTTGGATTCGGTCACTATTTATCCTCCCTCTCGCTCGCTATAGCCCAGATCTCCTTAGGACCCCAGCTCTTCCAGGTAAATTATAGCTGCACACAGAGACCCCCCCTCCCCCCAGTGCACTTCGAGGAATCTCAGGCTCCTCTCACAGTGGCTCTATTTATCTCGGTACCCAGGGGGGTCAGACACAAAGATGCTGCACCCGATGGAGCTGCCTTGTGTTTTTTCATGCTGTCGTTGAGATGAACTTTCATTCCTGCCCCCCCCCCCCACCTCGCTTTCCCTTCTGCTTTCGCTGGGGTTTCTCTTGCCTTCTTGTCGAGCGGGCGTTTCTGAAGTGAGCTGGCTGACTGGTTAAACATCAGCTCCTCTGCATTTCTGATGGGAGTGGGGGAGCAGCTGGGCTTCTCGGTTCTCTTTTCACCATGCGGCATGTTTGCTGCTTAGGGGCTGCTGCTCAGAGCAGTTCACACGGGCACTGCCCACGGAGGGACCGCTACAGTCCTGCAGAGATCGGGTAATGCTGACCACAAGCATGTGACTGCTTCTGAATGTCTCCCGCACGCCGCTCCTAGAGCCTGGCTGAACACCAGGGGCCCAATTCCCCCTGGCCTCGCCCCATGCGTGGGGTGTAAAATGCGACCGTTCCGCTCTGATAGCATTTGGCACCCATGTTGCAATGGTGTGTAGACGGAGTGCACAGAGGCAGAGGAGGATTGGTCCCAAGGAGCGGGACTCTCCTCTCGCTCGCACCAGTCTAACTCCGCAGAAGTATGCCTCATTTACGCCAGCCTGGGTCAGGGGACTCAGCCCCGGGCAGTATCTGTATCCTGCCACGATACAGCAGGAGGGACTCGATGAGCCAAGAGACCCTGCCAATAACTGCTAACACAGCAAACACGGTGCACTCGTGGGCAAGGGAGTTTCCTCCTCTACCCAGACCCATAGACACTGTGGACAAACAGCACACCTGACTTTCAGGAGGCCACTCTCCCGGACAGGAGTCCCCACGCCCCACCTTCTGCAGGGCATGAGGTTTCCCATCCCAGAGGCAGCACAGACCTCTGGGCCTGGTACAGCCACTGTGGCTGCATGTCCTGCTCCAATGTGGGACCTCCCTGGTTTTTTGAGACCCGACTGGCATTTTAACCACCTCTGAGCAGTGTGGAAATTGAATTGTGGATATGCTTCCACAGCAACATAACAACTAGAGATCCTCAGCGGGCGTAGGTCCTCAGCAGGCCCTGCGTCTCTCCGACATGCCAAAAGAAAACACGGTTCTGCTGCGCAGGAGTGTTAGAGTGGCCCACTTAAAAGAGGTGAAGATGTCTTTGATATCTGAAGAGCAGAATTAATCCCCCCACCCTCTTGCCAGCCCCCAGACAGATACTGTCTCCCCCCTTGTGCATGCCTAGTCATTGGGAATAGTAGTAGAGGCGAGGTCAGCCTGGCAGCCGTCTCTGGGCTTGCAAGCTTACATAGGGTGCTGACCCTCAGCCATATGCCTGAGCACAGGCCCAGGCCTGCAACTGTTGGCCAAACAAAGAGAAAAGGGTATATTGGCCACGGGCTATTTCTAAGGTTCTGTGCTCTGCCCATGCAGAAGGAACAGACTCGTGGTCTTACTATCCAAACCACAAGCATGCACTATACCAGCTCTTCAGAAAGCACACACTGTCCTCACTCCACCCGAAAGGTCACCAGCATGTGGGTAGAGCAGGGAGCTGGGCAGTGGTATCTGAACAGTAACTGGGGCAAACCCCTGCCCTAGACACTTTCCAGGGAAATTCTGGCTCCATTAGCTTGGGTTGATATTTGAGGCTTTTAAAACCTCCCTGGAGGAGCCTTCCCAGGGCAAACCATTTATTTATTAAAGAAAGGTGTTTTTAAAAGAGATCTCAGCCTCGCCTTGGGATGTGACCAAATTCCCTGCGAAAATAAGCTGAGCCAGTAAACACTAGCCAGGTGATAACTCTCCATAAACAAATGCCTCTGAAGCAGTCCCTTGGGAATCTTCCCATAAAGTGGGATCAGGCTCTAAGAATCATCAGAGCTTAGACCGACTGTCCTGAGTTCATTACTTCCCACACATCAGCGAGAGGTGGACCAGGTTCCCGACACCTCCCAGATTCACAAAGTGCCAGGGTGGAATGCACAGGAATTTGGCAGCAGGTTTGTTACAAATTCTGGCATTATCAGCTTTGAGTCAATTGCTGCTAGGACAATCTCAGCCTTCCAGAGCAGAATGTTTGCAGATGAAGATCCAAGCTGCGGGGCGAAATCTTTGCATTACCTTGGAGGAAAGGTTTGTGTTTCAGAGTTGACTCATCCACCTTCTTCCCCCACCACTTCCAGAAACATTTCGGGCAAAGGGATGACAATTGGAACAAAAGCTGTGAAACTCAGCTCAGTGCAATGCACAGAAGTAATACTGGCCTTGAACAATTCTACACAGTCTGCATGTGACAGGCCAGGATCACAGATAGCGTGCAACTATTCTGTAAATTAGCAGCTAATTGCAATAGTCAGGAATGCTTTCACATGAGCATAGGAATACCAGATACCACAGCATAGGTGATACCAAATCAGACCAGTGGTCTGTCTAGTCTAGTGACTGTCTCTAACGCTGGCCAGCATCAGATGTTCAAAGGAAGGTGCTGGAATCCCCATTGTGCAGAACTGTCAAATAACGTCCCTAATGCAGCCCCATTGTGCTAGGCACTCTGCGAACATAGAGTAAAAGACTGTCCCTGCCCTGAAGAGTTTACACTCTAAATATACAAGACAGGCAAAGGATGGGCGGGGGACCAGAGGTGAAGGAACTTGTTCAAGGTCATGCAGCAGGGCCAGAAATAGAACCAGGGCTCCTGACTCCCAGTCCAGTGCCCTGTCCACTGGGCCACACAGCCTCCCATGGGACACTTGAGCCCTACGAAATTTACCCTCCCAACACTCCTGTGATGTAGGACCCTGTAATTATCCTCTCTTCACAGATGAGGAAACTGACGCTCCAGCGGCACATGGGGCGGTGTGTAGTGTACAGGCACTACTACCTGGGTTACTACAGGCCACAGGGAAAGCTGAGGCAGTGGGACATTCCACTGCTAATAATTGCAGGGTAGAGTGGGAGGCGCTGCTTGGATGTGTAGAGAGCCGTGTAGGGTACGTACCCTGCGGGTTCAGGTGTGTAGGGCACTCGCCTGGCCTAAGCTGTGGCCAGATGTCCCAATTTTATAGGGACAGTCCCGATTTTGGGGTGTTTTTCCTTATATAGGTTCCTATTACCCCCCACCCCCTGTCCTGATTTTTCACACTTGCTGTCTAGTCACCCTATGTGGCTCCCCATCTACACAGCTATTTATAGCCTTGCTAGCTGAGCGTGCAGTGTCTGTACTCCGCATGCTGCCTGAGTGTAGACCTACCAGAGGAGTTAAGTGACTTGTTCAAGGTCACACAGGAAATCACTGGCCGACTCAAGAATAGAACCTAAGCATCCTGACTCCAAGCACTAGGCTTTAATGACAATACCATCCTCCCTGCTGGCTGGTTGTAATCGGCATCAGAATCAGTTTTCCCTTGCAGTGTGTGCACTTCTGGGCTGCAGAGTACAAGCTGGTTTTTGGGGAAGATCTTTACAGAAGCTGATTTTGAGAGATGTGATGATGTTGCATTAGTAGTCCTGTAGTGCTGCACACTATAATCTGAACACTGCCTCCCCTGAATCACTGTTTTCCCAAGGACCTAGCTAGTGTGACTGCATTGCTGCATTTAAAAATAGAACATAGCAACTCGGATATTGCCAGTGGCTCTGCTGAGAAAAATCACAATGCAAACAATGAAGTAGTAAAGATGGCCGGGCTGTCGGCAGTAGGAACACAAGTCCATCTCTGCTGCAAAGAGGAAGTATCTGGCTCAGCAAATTTCTATAAACCTCCACTTGTTGGACGGGGATCAGAGACACGTGAGCCAATCAGAAGGAGGAAATTAACAGCATCCTTCAACTGTGAAGGCTGCACAATCAGTACTGCCAAGAAAGGAGCCTCTCGTCATCCACAGGAGAGGAAGCAGGCAGGGATGGGGGTGGTGAAACCAAACTGTAATGCTTCAGAGGCACTGTAAGAGACGTCAGGCAGGTGGACAAGCTTTGTACATGCAGTGCCTGAGGGCGTGAAGATACCAGGGATGGTTTAAGAGCAGAGTCAGCATCCACTTGCCATTTATTTATGATAGACAATTAAGAAAAAAAACCAAACCAACCCAGCCTGTCAATAATGCTGGCATACACAGAGCAACACCCAAGTGAAAGAGCACACAGCTCGGAGGAAACCGGATTTTGACATGCATCACCAACTGCCGAATGTTGCTCAGCACCATCAGCAGGTGTGATTCCCCAGAGCAAAGAGAAGAGCGAATCTGCCGGTTTAAAAGGTGTCTTCCACAAGCCATTGAGCCCATGACGAGATCCGAGGGGGCACAGGCAGTTTGCAGCCTGTGCCTGGCCTGCCCATCGAGCAGCATCAGTGATTGTATTCACTGTAATGCAGTAAGCTCCTGGACAAGGGCCTCAGTGCGCTAGGTGCTGTAAAAACACACGGCAGCATTAGAAAGAGGGTAGTGCTGTATAGCCTAGGATTACGCAGCCCAAGTCTGCACCCGGGCTCACTCAGTG